CCCAGGAAAAAAAAAACATCGACCACCACCCCAATAGTGCCAACTATCCACCCCCGCCTCCCAATAAACAAAACACACACACACACATGTACAAAACTCCACCATGCCAACCCCTTACTTCTTGACAGAAAAAATAAAACCTGAACTGCCACCTCTCCGCAACAAACAACCACCCCCGAAACGCCCCCCACCAGAAGACAAAACAATTGGTTAAGTCCAATAAGCTTGCTTGAGATAAAGAACGGGTATTGCCATCCACTCGCAAATCTTGTCGAAATAAGTCTTTAGGCATCAACAAACACACCTCATACCGACGTAAAACCAAATTGAATAGAAAATGTATAAAACTCCCTGGAACTCCCAAAAAATTCACTTCCAATTCAAGCATAAAAAATGTATAAAACTCTATGCAACTCCCAAAAAATTCAGTTAGAAATTGTTAAACAAAAGAATATTACAGAACTACATAATTGAAAGATGGAAAGTGAAATTAAAGTATTATCCAAAGTACCTTTTGATTGGATCTAGTCTAGATGAAATCAATGCCACTACCACCGCAACCAAATTTTGCATCAAAATAACATGCACGAAAATCCGTTTGTTTTGTCATCAAGTAACATATTGAAACAAAGTTGATCTCATAGTGACACATAAATCTGTCATAAAATCAATATATAAATTGACCCGTTTGCAGATTACAAATTGTTATTAAAATTTCTACAGATTAAGGCTAGTATTTGATACTATGTCCTTAAAACAGATTTTAGCCCTATATACGGTGTTTATAGAAATCAAAACATTTGTCTCCTAAGATACAATGATCTTCACGTAAATAGAAGTGACACTCCGATCTAATCACCTAGTGAACCAAAATTGTGTTGTGTACTCTCAACTGCAGACTGCAAATAATGTATCAGACTATCTTAATGACTATAAAATTTATTGGATGCAGAATGGAGTGAATCTGGGTAATTTATAAAGAGAATGATGACTGATCTGAACTGTAACGCTCCAAAACCTACCTTGGACGGCATTACAATCTATAAATCATTCACATCATGAGAGCAACTAAATAGTTTCATCATTAATGAAATTTCATTCATCAAATATAACACTTACAATATTATCCCAAAAGAATAGGCCAACCATGACCATTACATCGCAAAAGAATTAAACATAAACTTGCAGCGGAATAACAAAAGATTAGTCTTTACATAATCCCAAAAGAAATTTTCTAGTTTAGCACCTACGAGAGTATAACGCTAGACATCCACCTCGGGATCAACGAGTCCGTCTAGTAGAGCTTCCCAATGTATCGGCTCCTCAACTCCGAGCTCCTCCTCTAGACCACAATCTGAAAAATATAGTTTGTAGGGGGTGAGCACTAAGCTCTGTAGCAATATTCCTCCCAAACTTGAACAAGGTTTAAAAAACATGTAAAACAAGTCGGTCTCCTTTCGCAAATATCATTTATTAATTTTTGAAATAAAACAAGGACATTTAAACATATCTCAAGTTTAAGCAACATCAGTAATTTAATGCATGAGTGAAACCAATATACGACTAATAATTCATTCCACCATAAACTGTTTCTCCCAAATTCTTACGGAATCTCATACTTTTCAAACTTCTTGTAGAAACTATTTCTAGTACAATGAACAATAACCCACCATTGTATTCGTATCTCTGGTCTGAAGTAAGATCTTGCATGATTACCATCGAAAATATCCTAGCACGTGTACAACTCACACAAATCCTCGCAAGGATATCCAACCTTTAGGAAGGGCGTATGCTAACACAATGACAATGACGTATCCAACCTAGGAGTAGTATACTAACCTTTCTCCCACGATACCCCGTGAGCGATAATGGTTTAGTCTTCGCAAGGCACTAACTCCACTACGAGTGGTAGGAAAAGTTCAAACTCGCACAGAGTAAGAAGATGTCTACACACTCCACAATACCCAGTCAATAGTAGACCATATTTATCCAACAACCACACAAGAGATACAATACTAACAATTTCCTCCAATAACATACAATTCCATAAATTCCCAATTTCACATGTAGTATTTCAATAGAACAATTGAAGAAAATACAAGAGATCATCATCAATATCATTTTACTACTCAACACAANTATACTTTCCAAACTTCTTGTAGAAACTATTTCTAGCACAATGAACAATAACCCACCATTGTATTCGTATCTCTTGTCTGAAGTAAGATCTTGCATGATTACCATCGAAAATATCCTAGCACATGTACAACTCACACAAATCCTCGCAAGGATATCCAACCTTTAGGAAGGGCGTATGCCAACACAATGACAATGACGTATCCAACCTAGGAGTAGTATACTAACCTTTCTCCCACAATACCCCGTGAGCGATAATGGTTTAGTCCTCGCAAGGCACTAACTCCACTACGAGTGGTAGGAAAAGTTCAAACTCGCACAGAGTAAGAAGATGTCTACACACTCCACGATACCCAGTCAATAGTAGACCATATTTATCCAACAACCACACAAAAGATACAATACTAACAATTTCCTCCAATAACATACAATTCCATAAATCCCCAATTTCACATGTAGTATTTCAATAGAACAATTGAAGAAAATACAAGAGATCATCATCAATATCATGTTACTACTCAACACAAAATACTAAAATTTTCGAAACTAAATTTAAGTGAATGTACAGGGAGAAACCCATATTTCCCAAAAACTAGGNGTTACTACTCAACACAAAATACTAAAATTTTCGAAACTAAATTTAAGTGAATGTACAGGGAGAAACCCATATTTCCCAAAAACTAGGGTTTTAAATCAAGAAAAAGAGATTTCATGGGTATTCAACTCTAAGTTTGTTTAAAACATCATAATAATTGCAAGAAGACCAAGGAATGATGATTTCATAACATATATATANTTAAATCAAGAAAAAGAGATTTTCATGGGTATTCAACCCTAACTTTGCTTAAAACGTAATAATAATTGCAAGAAGACTAAGGAATGATGATTTTATAACAAATATGTAAGATTTTGAGTCAAAGAATACACATATACAAGTCCTAGTTTCAATNCTTAAAACGTAATAATAATTGCAAGAAGACTAAGGAATGATGATTTTATAAC